CGCTGTGGCTCAAGTGGTAGAGTGCTCGCCTTGAGCTGAAGAGCTGAGGGACAGCGCCCAGGCCCAGAGTTCAAGCCCCATGGCCGACAAAAAAAAAAAAGAGGAACATTCCAGTAGAAGCACAGGTTCTTCACTGGCCTTGGGACGTGAAGCGCTCCTGTCAGCTCTGCCCCCTCCGCTGCCAAGTTGGGAAGGGGCCTGTGAAACTGCAGCCAGCGGGAGGCACAGGGGCCTCCAAACTCAGCTGCGCAAGATTGAGCACTGTGGGCACCTAGTGGCCACGTATGTGATTACACCCCATAGTGCCACGCCCCCAGGCCTCCCCTCCCCAGGGCCTATGCCATCCACAGCTAGGCCCGACTTCCTGCACCTTGTCCTGCACCACCCACACTCTGCCTGCTGACTGCAGAGCCGAGCTGCTGTCCTTGGCTGAACCTGGACTTCCAGCTGTGACTGGCAAAAGCCAGGGCTCAATCTTGGCAGGGCTGCCACCTGCGTACTGAGCACGTCTGTGCAACTACATTAAGTTTACTCAATTTTCCTTTACCCAGTGAAGACCAGTGGGAAAACAGACGTGCCAATGATAGTGCTAATGAGTCAAGATGAGAGGGAAAAACATCTTTGTTCACCCAGATACCCACTGGGCTCACTCAATGCCAACCACACTTCAATTATGAAAAAAGGAGTGAAATGTTAAAAATCTGGCATTTAGAATGCCATCTGAAGTGACTGAGATCTAAAATGTATGGTGGGGTGGGGGGGGGCGCAGCCGAGGCCCAGGGCAGAGCACAGGGGAGGGGTGGGGGGGGGGGGCGCAGCCGAGGCCCAGGGCAGAGCACAGGGGAGGGGTGGAGGGGGGCGCAGCCCAGGCCCAGGGCAGAGCACAGGGGAGGGGTGGAGGGGCTGTCATCTTGCCTGAGGGAAAAGGTTTCCTGGATCATTTCAGCCATCAGCAGTCAGCACGGGGGTCAGGAGCACCGGGCTCTGTCTCCTTGGCTGTCTCTCCCCTCCCAGGAGGTCGGCAGAGCCTGCTGCTGCTGCTGGACAGCACACTGCCGTGAGAAGGGCCAGCAGGAGACTGGGGAAGAGTGCCGTGTGCTGTTCTCTGTATTTCGCACCTAGCCCGCATTTCAGTGTTTAAACAATCATGTGTCAATCACATCATGTGCACAGAGGAAGGACACCCGGTCCTAACTGTGGATGTTAGAACGTGTGGATTACTTCAGGTTTCTGAACACTCACACACGCTTCCGGGACCAAGCAGGTTCCCAGTGGGGACAGCCGTGCTTGACCCTCTCAGGAAAGGCAGCGGGAACCTCCTGCCAGGAAGCCCAGGCACTGTGGGGACACAGGCCCAGGGCGGTGTCCAGGGCCCGTGACGGCTGTGTCGGGTGTGCAGCCTGTCTGCTTCTTAGACTGTCGCAGGGACGGGTGCGTGCTCCTGCCTGCACCGAGTTGGCCCACAAGCCCTTTCAGAGAAACTGGCATGCTCCTCCACAAACTGAGCATCTTCTGCCAGCAAGGCTTGCTTCCTGACCCAGCAAGGGTGCAGCGCCCCAAACCTCACCGCCAAGGCGAGTGAGCGTGAGCACCCTGTGAGCCACGCCCTGCTTCCATGATGCTGCACGGGGGAAGGCACGGAGGTGACCTGACGGAGGGTGCTCTGTGTGCACGCCGCACCGCGGGGCATGTGTGCTGCACGGGGCGGGGGAAGGCACGGAGGTGACCTGACGGAGGGTGCTCTGTGCACACCCCACACCGCGGGGCATGTGTGCTGCACGGGGGGGGAGGGCACGGAGGTGACCTGACGGAGGGTGCTCTGTGCACACCCCACACCGCGGGGCATGTGTGCTGCACGGGGGAAGGCACGGAGGTGACCTGACGGAGGGTGCTGTGTGCACACCCCGCACCGCGGGGCATGTGTGCTGCACGGGGGAAGGCACGGAGGTGACCTGACGGAGGGTGCTCTGTGCACACCCCACACCGCGGGGCATGTGTGCTGCACGGGGGGGGGGAGGCACGGAGGTGACCTGATGGAGGGTGCTCTGTGTGCACCCCGCACCGCGGGGCATGTGTGCTGCACGGGGGGGGGAAGGCACGGAGGTGACCTGACGGAGGGTGCTCTGTGTGTGCACCCCACACCGCGGGGCATGTGTACTGCACGGGGGAAGGCACGGAGGTGACCTGACGGAGGGTGCTCTGTGTGCACCCCGCACCGCGGGGCATGTGTGCAGCACGGGGGGGGGGGAAGGCACGGAGGTGACCTGACGGAGGGTGCTCTGTGTGCACACCCCGCACCGCGGGGCATGTGTGCTGCACGGGGCGGGGGAAGGCACGGAGGTGACCTGACGGAGGGTGCTCTGTGCACACCCCACACCGCGGGGCATGTGTGCTGCACGGGGGGGGGAGG